GAGCTGCTTCGCAGTTGTCCGTTCGTCGCGACGTAACCCACGACGTCGCGTTGTCTAATCGCCAAGACGATTCCGTCTTTTTCGATCCGATTCGAAAATCGCCGCGAAGACGCTGCTAGCGGACTCTCTCTGGGCCATGGGCGACTGGTAACGACGATAACGCGTCTCGGCGTTGAGGAAAAGAGCTCGCGAGAGCAGAGGGAACGAAACGATCGCGAGGTGAGTAGGTTGTGGTTATAGCACTATTGCTCGTGTATGTGTCGCCCCTGGTGTATAGGACTTTGCGAGATTTTTGTCTTCATTCGGGTTCGCTTCTTCTCGGTTAGGAATCGTGAAGAAAAGATCGGACTACGAGTGCCGGGATTTGAACCGTGTCTGCTGGAACGTTCGTAACCAACGACTCTAACCGTCGTCCGGTCGATGATAGGGTCTTTGGAGTGCAAGCCACGGGATAGAAACCGTTGGAAGGTTTGCTGTCGAGTGCCGCTGCAGTTGTTTCTCGAGCGTTTCGATCGCGAGAGCGGATTCTTCTCGTCTTTGCCTCGTTGCTACTCGTATTTACCTTACCTTTGTTTCGCGGGCAACAAAATTAAATCGCGCGACTATACTTCTTCTACGAGGGGAGGAGAGAGCGATAGAAGGACGAAAGCTAGCGACAAGGACAAGAATCTCCTTTTCCTTCTCGAGAGACTACCTCGAGCGAAGATAATCGCGGGCAAAGTGGCGAGGCGTTTGACGAGGCGATGGAACGGCTCGGCCTCGATGTTTCTGCTCCTCGCGCTTCGCTTTCCGGTGTTCGTCGCGCGACGAGTCGTCGACAAACGTACGAAGGGAGACGCATCGCGTGGCCGTCACGGAAATGAGCACGTCAAAAAGAGGAAATTAAACACCGAAGACGGATAAACAGCGGGCAAAGATTAATGCTCGATACGTGGTACGCGACGACACTTCCGATCCAATAGCGCGGCTTGTAGCTCGCTTTGCTGTGCGCGCGGGTCACGACTCGTAACAACGTGGAATCGGAGAAACGACTTTGTTCGGATTGGATTTGCGAAGCGTCGCTGCTGAATTCGTGATCGCGTAACTTTGCTCCGCTTCCGAGACAAATTTATTTGTTTATTCGCGAGGAGAACGAATCCTTTGTCGCGCATACGGTGCGAGGAAAAAGAGGCGGATAGGCGAAAACACGCGTTATAGAAGTAGAAAATGCGAAAGAAAAAAGCAAACGTAAAGTTTAGACGCGTGTTCTTCCTATATAGGCGAGCGTGTCGATGAACGTTCGAAGGAATCGAGAGACCGACCGAACAGATCTCGATCGTCGAACGTGCGCCGTCAAAACGGACAGCTATGCGATTTACGCGATTAAAATAGCCGCGTG